TGTCCAGCAAGCATGTTTGATTACCAGAGGGTACACCACAGGTACCCGGATTTAAATGATAAGTTTTCCTAAGCTGGGATTGCTTTTCACTAGAGATACATCCCAGACATGGCTCTTGGGAAGACATCAGAATCTTCACAAAGACAGGAAGTCTCACCAGGTTGAAACCGGTTACCCCCAAGAGTAGGATGTCAAAGCGGTCAAAGCGATGCCGCAAAATGACCGAAAAGGAAAAGGGCAAGTCTTCATCATTCACACACAACCAAGATACATACTTAGATGGGCCATGGAGTTAGTTAACTAGTTAGTAAATGGATTATAATTGGGATATAGGGGGTTTTAACCCCAGTTACTAACCAGTTAGCTAATTCTATGGCCCATCTAAGTACTGCACATACTTGTAAAGAAAATGCTCTTCCACGATCATGCCCAGGTCGCACGGAGGTGGCCAAGGTGGCCAAGATGGTTTTCCTATCCCACTATGGTTTGCTACTATTCCAAATTTGAATGTGATCCACAGTAAAATCAAACAGTAACACAATAAATATTAGGTTTCTGGTTTTTTGGTTATTCAAACATGGCTAATATTTACATGAATTATCCAGAAGCCACTAATTAACATCTATGTAACATTAATTCATGTGTGATTAGAGGGTACATTCAAACATTAATTAACATTTATTGTGTTACTAAAATTTGAATGTACCCTCAAACATGGTTTCTGGGATTCCCACCTGTTAGGCGGTTAGATCCTCGTTTCAGGAAGATGCGGCGGTGGCAGCTGCCAAAGCAGCTGCGTGGATGATGAAACATGAGTGGCTTGGCGAAATCAGGAGATGTAAAGGTCAAAGAATTGCCTTCACACAATATTGACACGTGTAAAATGTATAGATACGTCTGTGTTATGTATATCAACTTAAAGAACACCAACGGTTTTCAGCTACAACTAGTAGAGCCGTGTGTGGTTTAAAGATTGTCTGTAATGCCGTAGCCCAAAGAAAACCTCTCCACTTGCGATGTCTTCTCTTGAAAGGGCTGGTTCCAACCGACCATCTTGACTTTCTCAAGTTCTACATTGAACCTCACGGATGTGTTTAGATTTGTCTAATAATTATTGCCATTAGCATCTTCGTCATCCCTAGTTTTGGTCATGTGTTCTAGCCAACCCCTGAAAAAATGGATGAATTCCACACCTGCCGCTACCTGTTGGACCACAAATTCCCATGGTTTGCTTGCTTAAATCCATTGAAAAAACAATTTCCAGGCCGTGATTGGGATTTCAATGGTTTAAACATAGCTAGTTTTGAATCCCAACTCACCAGGGGCTCAAATTCCATCGGTCCAAACCAAGGGTGCGACAAACCAGCCACACCTCGTCCACCACATCCGCCATGTCAAGCACTAGCCACTCGGACCAGAGAAATTCTAAGAAAACGGTTGGTAGGATTCATGGATAGCTACAAGGTGATGCCCCATAGTTGGATAAGTTGTGCTGAAAAGACTCCAATATGTCACGTTTGTTTGGCTTTGCGGCAGGTATTTTCATCGAATTCATCGAACTCGTTCATGCGGTTTGTCAACAGAAGTCATGGGGCACCACACTGCAATGGTACCAAACAATGGGTTGATGGGGGTTCATTCCCCCAAAACATAAGTGGGTGACCTACCATGGACCCTGGGTGACCCAACGAATATCCGTGGTAGATGAAGAATTATTCAGGCTCCAACGAATCAGTGGCTGTTGGTTTCAATGATGTCTTCCCCGGAAATGTTGGCCAATGATGTTGCGACCTTCTTTTCCAGAGCTCATGATGATGCTTAACAATAAGAAATCATCCACTGGTCATTCCCTTTCTTGTGTCAAGTGCTGTCCGAATCTCCTGAATGGGTCAACCAACCAGATGGTGAAGTGGTGTAGACACAAAGTGACAACGAATCAAAACAAACAATGGCTAAACAAATAGACTCTTCAGTCAGTTTCATTTAGTGTGAAACTGGTTGGTAGTGTCACTCAAATAGTGTTGTTCAACGTTCTTCAACCATACAAAAGAGATGATTGGGTGAAATGGCGATTTTTTTTGTTTGGGATGTGTCAAAATTTCCCGACAGGCTGGATGTAGAATCCAGTTTCGTTGTGAGCGATCCGATGAGGGTTGGAACTTCAACCCATGCGAGGTAAATGCTAGGAATCTTGGAAATGAGGGAATTGGATGGGGAAAATTTTCAGGAAGCCTCATGAGATACTTAAAGTAGTGGATAGATAAATATTTATATATATATATGTATATATATCATATATATATACTTCGATTATTATAATATAGACATATCATATATATATATATACTATAATCAGACAGTATATATCAGCATTGTCTCCAATTATCTGTCCATAGTAACTCCATCCGAGGTTCATGGGTCAGATACGTGAAGAATGTACCCAGCAAGGCTGGGCTTCAGCTGGAGCGGGATTTGAGAGTGAAAAAATGGAGTTTCCGAAGCACTGGAGATAGGTCAGATAGGTTGTGTCACTTTGTTGGTGAACTTTGGGGATTTTTTTCGGTGATCGCAAAAATTTTATCGAAATCCTTCTTCCATTCATAGAAAACACTTTGCAGAAACCTTTTTTTTGTTGGGGATGAAACTACATAGTCTACATGCTTCGGACAATTAATCATTGGGGGTGTAACTCTCCGGGTGCTACTTCTGCAATTGGGACCACTACCTGCCATGTCGCATGGCAATGTGGCATCCAGATGTGAAAGTCATCCATGATGAACACTGACTAACTAGCATTGCAGCAAACATTCAATACCATCCATAAGCATCCAACCGTGGATGTTTACCATAGCTCATCGGCTAGTAAAAGATATTTGTGTCTGGGCCATTTGCCATAGCTATGAAATAAATCAGGAATTGCAACTGGTTGGTTAATTAATATTCGTAAATTCTCGACACAAAACATCGTTCACGTGTTTCTTTAGCAGGTTGTAAAATGCTGGGACCATTTTTCCCACATGGAAAATTCCATCTCACATGATCTTTCAGATCTGAATACAACTAGCTACAGATTAACTGTGGTTGCAAGCGAGCGGATTCTTTGGCGAGCCGCTTCGCCATGGAGGTGAGGTGTGCTTCCTTGCGTCAGGTGAAAAGCTGACGGTCCTTGCCCCTGATGAATTTGAAGGAAAAAGTACAAAGGCTGTGAAGCAAGTCTTGGCAGCTAAGATTGATGTCACCATTTTTCGACAAAGATTCTTTTCAGAAGATGGTTCCGAGATCCCGGATGATGAGATTTTTGCTTCGACTCCAGGGAAGCTTATGATCCTGATCTTGGATTTTTTCCACACTGATGCTGAGCAAACCCAACGCATGATCTCTGCATCCATCAACAATGATGTGATTGAACTTAAGAGTTTGCTGAAAAAGCCTTTGAATCCAAATGTGAGAGACGAAAATGGCACAACACCGTTGCACTGTGCCGCAGAAAGAGGACATGTTGAAAGCCTGCTGTTGTTGATTGAAGCAGGTGCTGAAAAAAATGCACAAGACCAAGGACGTGACGGGAAGACGCCATTGCATGTGGCAGCTGTAAGCGGGCAACTTGACGTCGTGCGTCATTTGGTGGAGGTTGGTGCTGACAAGGATCAGCAAACAGTCGATGGCTCAACGCCATTGTTGATTGCAGCTTGTCAAGGTCATCTTGAGGTCGTTCGTCGTCTGGTGGAAGTTGGTGCCCACAAAGATCAAGCCGCAAACGATGGCGCAACGCCATTGTTTATTGCAGCTGGTAACGACAATCTTGACATCGTTCGTCATCTGGTGGAAGTTGGTGCCCTCAAAGATCAAGCTGCAAACGATTACGATGGCGCAACGCCATTGTACATCGCAGCACAGCAAGGCCATCTTGACGTCGTTCGTTATCTGGTCGAAGTCGGTGCCCACAAAGATCAAGCCGCGAACGATGGCGCAACCCCCTTGTTCATCGCAGCACATGTAGGTCATCTTGAGGTCGTTCGTCACTTGGTAGAGGTTGGCGCCCGCCAAAATGAGGCAACCAGGAAGACTGGGGCAACAGCCTTACATGCTGCGGCAGAAAGTGGCCATGTTGAAATTGTTCGCTTTCTGATTGAAAGAGGCGCAGATAGTCACGCAACTACACGCTGTGGAAGAACTGCTCTGGATATCGCATCTCAAAGGGGTCATTCTGAGGTGGTCCGTTTCCTGGCAAAGATCCGGAGCGAATCGCCCCCAAGCAAAATCCCAAGGCTTGGTTGAGAGACATCCTGTGAGAGCAAAAAAGTTCCAGCCGGCTCACCCCGGGGGCTATTCAAGACAGACTTGTTCAACAAGGAATTCCAAAAGATCACCCTTTCCGGGTAACCATCGCCACGCCACTCTTTCGTCAGGCAACAGAGAATCAGCCCGGCAGCACAGAAGTCGGTGGAATGGTGGGCACCAAGATTTCATGGTTCAATCTGAATGGGGATTTGGGGATATGTATAGATGGTTATCTGGTTTGTGGTTTGGAACATTTTTTATTTTTCCACATATTGGGAATTTCATCATCCCAACTGACGAACTCATATTTTTCAGAGGGGTACAAAGCACCAACCAGTTATAGATGGTAAATAGGCTACTTCAAAATTTCATGGGGCTTTAATGGTTCACCCAGTTTTAGGCGTGATATTTTTTGGGCTACCCCGGAAAATCCAGTTGATGTCATGGAATTGTGCGGAGTGGGGTTCCCATTCCAACCTCAAAATGTCTCCGAATTGTTTGCAAACCTTTCCCATCTTGGATTGTAGTTTGATTTGGATTAGAAAGTGCCAAAACCTGTGGGTAATGACAGTCACAAGTATCTTAAACAGATAATTGTAGAGGTGTTGACATAGAATGACCTGTTTTTAATATAGTGGTTTCCTAAAATGGTGGTACCCCCAAATCATCCACTTCAATCGGATTTTCCATTATAAACCAACCATTTTGGGGTACCCAGGATGGAAAATGCCTACACCGCTGCGGCTGAAAGCGTTAAGAACAAGTGACCCTGACAGCGGGGATGGGATCTAAATCTGGAGAGTTTTTCCATGGATTCTGAAAATGAGAGGTGAACATGGTCATCCCTAACATCATACCATGATTATCGTTATCCCTATGAAAATGACCATATTCATGGCTGGTTTTTTCCGCATTTTCAGACGAACCCAGATGAGGTATCCTTGGTTCCTATAGCGGCCCACCACTATTTACTCCCAAAGTTTGCTCCTAGGTATGCAACTTCGCAGATACCGTTTGCGCAACGTGGCTGCACATGAACACATCGCCTGTGTTTTCATTGGTATATCTGGTTTGCCAACATATGCAGCATGTTAGCCATTGTCTTAGTAGGAGGATGGCTATATCATTGCCCCCCCAATGTGGTGTCAATCCAATGCCATAGCCACCAGCCGCAAGTCACCACATCCCATAATCCCAACAGCCCCGTTTTAAATGGGGAACACCCCATCGCGTAACGATGGCCCAGGTGGATGTAGGGAATTTCCCTTTTTGGGACCATCGAAATGGAATCAACGAAACCATAGAAACCATAGGTTTCTTGTTGGGGATTTCCACATTCCATTGGGACCAGAAACAAAGGGGGTGTCATGGCTGGAAAATCCCACCATTTCGTCCCAGGTCCAATCGTAGCATCAAGGCGCGATGTGCAAAAAGATGGGTTTTCAACCAAAGATGGGTAATTCCAAAAATCCAACCATAAGTGATGGGAATATGTTTAGAGATGTATTAAATATATTACCAATATGATTTGGCTTCCTGTTTGTTCTGAAATTGGGGATGGAAGCCTTGTTGGTGTGGCAGCTCGGGGGAACTCAAATGACAGAAATGTGGTTCTTTTTTCATCAACGATGCAATCCAGGTGGGTAATTTTGAGCTCCAATTTGCAACTGGTACCCTCTGGTAAAAATTTACATAACTATGGAAAATCACAATTTTTCATGGGAAAATTCACTATAAATGGTGATTTTCCATAGTTATGTTGGTTTACCAGAGGGTAGTGAGCACACAAATAGAAAAGAGTGATGGCGATCAACCCTCAACCTCTTGATGTGCCAATCTGGAAAATCCCTTCCGAATTCGGCGGGTTGTGAGTATAGTAGGGGTTCCGGTTTACCTCCAGTTTCGCATGCTAAAAACATCGTTTTTGTTGATGGCTTTCCCTTAAGCCCACCCAGCCCTTGCACACTGGGCGAAGGTCATGAAAGAAGTGAACCTCACAGGTGGGCAGTGCAAATTTCTGCCGAAAGCTGAACTGAAAATCGCCATGGTTTTTCACACCGCCCTTCCCTGCCACGTGGTGGCGTCCAAAAATGACCAATCACTTGGTGGTGGAAGTGCCCAGTGGCCTATAGCTTGTGTTTATCCATTTCCATCTATGGAGGATCCCAATTCAAACTGATGGAAAGCGGAAAAACTCCCATCTGGTTGGTGGTGACTGGAACATGAATCTTATTTTTCCATATATTGGGAATTTCATCATCCCAACTGACGAACTCCATCATTTTTCAGAGGGGTAGGCGAAAAACCACCAACCAGCAATTTACACAGTGGGTTTTTTCGTCCAGGTCGACCCATGCGTGTTCGAGTCATCACAAGTAGGGCTGCTCAGCACCGCGGCCTCCAAAGAGTCTGAGATCACCTGGAGTTGGGCTGCGCACTTTGCGATGGAAAATGGCTGAGGTTGATGATTTTACCAGTAAAAATGGTGATGTTTCCATAGCGATGGTAGATTCCCACTAATCAGCGTTCGAAAAGATGCAGTGTTTTCGAAAGATTTGCCATGCGATATTGTGATCTGGTTGGTGGTTTGGAACATTGTTGATTTTTCCATGTATTGGGAAGAATAAGCCCAACTTACTTTCATATTTTTCAAATGGGTTTTAACCACCAACCAGGATATTGTGATGCTTTAGCCATGTTTTCTCGTCCAAAACTCCTTCCTTTTTAGGAGAATAGATGATCTTCCTGTGCTTGAAACCGACCGTATCTCACCGTTGTTTGTGCGGAGACAATCCCAGAGTTGGTGAGCTGATTTCAGAAATCCCCATTTTGGAAAACCATAGCTGTAAATTTCAACCTTAAACAACATTGAAAAAAAAACATAATGGAGAAAAGACCTGAAGATATCTGCAGCAAAATCTAGAAAAAAAACATCTATAAAGCCCAGCTATGGGGTGAACATCCCGCTCAGTGCTCAGGTGACGGCGACATCGTTCCCACCGAAGCCCCTGAGGATTGGTGGGTTGAACGAACTCAATGGGGGGAATCAAGGGGGTAACCATGATGATATGGTTGGTTGAATGGGGTAACCATGAACACAACTGGTTGGTGGTTTGGAACAGGTTTTATGACTTTCCATATATTGGGAACAATCATCCCATTTGACTTTCATACCCTTCAGAGGGGTTGAAACCAACAACCAGACAACTATTGGATACTATTGGGAATATGGGTATACAGTGGGAATATATGACCCTAGGAACACAGCTTTAGTTCTGAATCGAATAATTTTGGGGGCCCAGATGGGGGTATTGAATATTAGAGGGAGGGATTGTAGCACTTGAATGATGAGGGATTTGTTAATGAGGTAGAAAGTGTATAAGACCACCCTTTTTGTAGGGATATTCTGTGGGATATGATTTAATGGATATACAATCTCTCAAACGACGTACTAAGTGGGATGATCCTAGTATACACCGTGGAGTGGTGATTTGATGCTGTCATGGGATTTCATGACATGAGAAAAAGCGTCAAAAATCTCTTCAAACAAAAATAGGGACTTCACGGAGAAAAAATTGCATGACATTGGGGTTCCGCTCAAAATCGTCCTATCCAATGACTAAATGACTAGTAAGAGGCTAGTAACTCCCATGTGAACTGTCACACTGCTCATCACCCTAGGGACATTTGCCACCAAGCTGCTCAGATTTTCTTTTGTAGCTGCGCTGCTAGTTGTGCTAGTTTTCCCACCGGCATCCTCTGATCCAAGACCCCACAAAAATCAGCCATTGACCAGTCTCATTTTGGTCACTTTAGCTCTGCAGCGCGCTCTGCGCATGGTTAAAAGTGGGCCAATCCTCTAAGTCTATACCAAGAAATGGTTAATTGGTGGTTCCATGTGTTCAAGATTGTGGAATGTGACTCTGATAGCCATCAAATATGGGTTCAACCGACAGAAATACTGATTTGAGACCCAACTTAAAACACCACATCAAGATGTGTGTTGTTTCTTCAAATGTCATGTGTACCCATCTTTTTTCCTTGACCTTGATGATCTGCTGAAAATGAGATCAACTCATCATGAAACAGAGCTGGAAGGACAATGGCTTGTCATTGCCCAGCGACAACATCACATGCCTATCCAAACACAGGACGATGAAGACGCAAGCACCAGTGAACCGTCCGGGCCCATGATGCAAACCCAGAGGATGCAACCGTGGATCATTAGTCCCTGGCCGATGGTGAAACCAGTTCCAGTCCCAAAAAGGCCCTGTTCGAGCTTTGTTGGCCTCCTTTTGTCACTGTTTGAAGGTAACACCTTACTTGGAAATGGTCGAGTTTTTGCGACAAGTACAACCAACCATTTTGCGGCTCTAAAGGGATAGAAAGGGCTATTTCACAAAGAGATGCCATAAATTGTCCGTCAATGTGTAAGTAAGTGGGAATGGCTCTCTTCGTGTCTATTTGTCCCATTTTGGGATGGCTAAACAGAAAAAACATGTCATGAATGTCCATGATCTGTGGTATTTTTGAGCACTGAAATCATGGGATTCATGGAAAAATACCAGGCACCCACATATTTACCGTCTGGTAATTTAAGATAACTATGGAAAATCGCCATTTATAGTGGATTTTCGCATTTAAAATTGTGATTTTCCATAGTTATGTAAACGTTTACCAGAGGGTATCCCTAAAAGGTTCCTATTTCGCCAAGGCGTGATCCGGCCATTCACAAGCTTGACGAGATGGGAGAGGTGGAGATCATTTGGATTTTTTTGCCAATAGATTGGGAACCATAATTTACAGTTGGTGGATGGTGGTATAATGTGATAATATGTTGTGTATTGGATTTTTGGCTAATAAAATGGTGATGTTGGAAGTCAAGCATCAATAGGTGGTTTAAATATACAAAGGTAGATTGTCCGAAAACGGATGGTGAGCTGCAGTTCCAGGTGAGAAGTGGGGGAACATGAGAGATAACAACCATTTGAATACAGTGGGATGTACTGGAATAGACATGAATAGACAACCAAAAATGTGAGCTTGTAGGGCCTGATCCCAACTTGTGTTTTACAACCATTAACCATGTAAACATGCCACATGCCCATTTGAGCAAACAAAACGGAATAATGATCAGCAGCAAAGGAAAATTGATACCCTATGATAATCAAACGTGGCAATGGAAAATCCCCTATAATATAAATGGATATTTGATGGGAAAATCAGCTATAAATGATGGATTTTCCATTGCCACGGCTGATCTCTAGAGGGAAATTATCACCCAAACACAGTTGCGTGGAAACTGAGCGAAAGTGGGGACATCACTTGCAGTAGAAAGCCAAGTAGGATCGTAGATTGTTGCTAGTTCCCTCCCAGAATTGGTTTGTTTGAGACCATCTGCAGGAAGCCCTTCCTGGCAGGAACAATGGAGATTTTCCCAAGCAAATCCATCTGACGCCCTTTAAGTGTGCGATTCCAAATCCTGCAGAGAAAGCTATACAAAGACAAGGTTGTTTTTTACCTGCAGTCACAGTCACTGTCAAAAATTTCACTTGACCATTTATTGGGTTGATTCAAGTTTTTGATGGGTGTCTCAATCATAAGATTGCCAGTTTTTTACCAAAGTAAATGTATATGTGAAGAAAAACATGGCATGTGTAAAAAGTTGACCTATTGAAAATGTCCATCTCATGAGCGCCAAGCAACCTCCTCTTGCCACAAACTAACAACGGGGGCTCTGCAAACCCAACAAAGGGGGAGCCCTAACCGGCGTCATTGTGGTAAATTCAGGAAAATTGATGGTTTTGTTCATAGAATTGCCAAAGGGGTAGATCTAAAATTATTGGTTTTACGACATTAACATGATGGATTCTAGCAAAACACCTTATTGGGGGCCGTTTTGGGCGATGATTTGACCACGCCAAAGAGTCAAACTTTCCGGACCAAAGAACCAAAAGGAACCTTGGCTTCATCCCACCAGGGTAATTATTGTGCTCAACTTGCTGTGGTTCTATCGGTGTCCCACCTTCTTTTTGGGTGGGCACGTTTTTGACGCTGCCCCCAGATGATTGATGAAGTGGTGCTGAAGGACCGTGGGAAGAGCTTGGGATGGGATGGTCACATAGGTTGATAAAGGCTGCAAAATATTGAATCTGGATTCGATCCGTTTTGAAAACAAATTGAAGTGAGAAACTTCCAGTTTCATGCGATGACTCGACCAATCACTCCATACATTACTCGTACAGAGGAAGCCGCGTCAGTACTTCACTAGCCTTCGGTCAATGGTTTTCTCTAGTAGTCTTGGGTTTTGATTCTGCAGTTGCCGAAGCCTATCGCTCTGTAATGTAGGAAACCCAATGCCACAAACTTGGGAATGGTTTATATCACCTATAGTGATGACTGAGGAATGGTTTATTGTTGGCTCCAAATTAAAGTCCTGAAAAAGGTGTTTTTCCCGAGAGCGTCTGCGAAGGGTTCTTCGTAAAAAAGCAGCCGTTATATACATCTTCACACCTTCACATTTGCTGATCTACATCTTCACACTCTCACATCTGCTGATCTACATCTTCACACCTTCACACCTGCTGATCTACATCTTCACACCCTCACATTTGCTGATCTACATCTTCACACCTTCACACCTGCTGATCTACATCTTCACACTCTCACATCTGCTGATCTACATCTTCACACCCTCACACCTGCTGATCTACATCTTCACACTCTCACATCTGCTGATCTACATCTTCACACCCTCACACCTGCTGATCTACATCTTCACACCCTCACACCTGCTGATCTACATCTTCACACCTTCACATCTGCTGATCTACATCTTCACACCCTCACACCTGCTGATCTACATCTTCACAACCTCACACCTGCTGATCTACATCTTCATACCTTCACATCTGCTGATCTACATCTTCACACCCTCACACCTGCTGATTTACATATTCACACCCTCACATTTGCTGATCTACATCTTCACACCTTCACACCTGCTGATCTACATCTTCACACTCTCACATCTGCTGATCTACATCTTCACACCCTCACACCTGCTGATCTACATCTTCACACTCTCACATCTGCTGATCTACATCTTCACACCCTCACACCTGCTGATCTACATCTTCACACCCTCACACCTGCTGATCTACATCTTCACACCTTCACATCTGCTGATCTACATCTTCACACCCTCACACCTGCTGATCTACATCTTCACACCCTCACACCTGCTGATCTACATCTTCACACCTTCACATCTGCTGATCTACATCTTCACACCTTCACATCTTCTCTCGCTCTTCTTTCTATCTCTCTCTTAAGGCCGGGGCGGTGCCGCCGGAGCGCCACGAAACGCTACCCATTCGCACGAAATGGAAGTTGGACGTCAAAAACTGATGTAGAATTGCGATTTAACTTGGTCCATCGCAACCCTTTCGCACGAAATGGACGTTGGACGTCAAAAACTGCGGTAAAATTGCGATTTAACTTGGTCCATCGCAACCCTTTGGCACGAAATGGACGTTGGACGTCAAAAACTGCGGGTAAAATTGCGATTTTGAGGTGTCCATCGCAACCCTTTCGCACGAAATGGACATTGGACGTCAAAAACTGAGGTAAAATTGTGATTTTGAGGTGCCACGGGCAACGCTTACACGCGAAATGGAGGTTCGGCGTCAAAAACTGAAGTAAAATTGCGATTTAACTTGGCCCATCGCAACCCTTTCGCACGAAATGGACGTTGGACGTCAAAAACTGAAGTAAAATTGCGATTTCACGGGTCCGGTCTTTGTGTGTGAAAGTGTTTGTGTGTAGAAGTTTCTGTGTGTGAAAGTGTTTGTGTGTAAAAGTTTCTGTGTGTAAAAGTTTCTGTGTGTAAAAGCTTCTGTGTGTAAAAGCTTCTGTGTGTAAAAGGATCTGTGTGTAAAAGGATCTGTGTGTAAAAGGGTCTGTATGTAAAAGCGCCTGTGTGTAAAGGCGTCTGTGTGTAAAGGAGTCTGTGTGTAAAAGCCTCTGTGTGTAAAAGCTTCTGTGCGTAAAAGCTTCTGTGTGTAAAAGCGTCTGTGTGTAAAAGTTCTTGTGTCTAAAAGCTTCTGTGTGTAAAAGGGTCTGTGCGTAAAAGCGTCTGTGTGTGAAAGCGTCTGTGTGTAAAAGTGTTTGTGTGAAAAAGTGTCTATCTGTAAAAGCTTCTTTGGGTCTAAGTGTCTGTGTTGCAAGGCACGTGGCTGCAAGGCACGTGTCATATGTTGCCCTTTACCAAGCAGCATGGGTTGTCACATGTATCCTCCTCTTAATCAATCCTACTTTTCACAACGTATCCCTCCATAGCTCATTTAAAATTCACCAATTATTCACATACTATTTTTTACAACTACCATTATCAGAGCTGTTTGAAAAACGTTTTTTGGCTCTCGGGCCAACCGTCGTCTAGTTTTGAAGCGTGAAGCCCATGAAACGTACATGCAAGAGATTGTAATTTGCCCACCATGGATCCTACATCATGATTGACCACCATTCCATACGTGCAAAAGGCGCGTGGTCTTGGTGGTTTGGACACACTGACAAGATTTTACCATGTGGATGTCAAAAAGTGCAGTTTGGTTCAAGAAAATGTTAAAGAACTAATACCTTTGCTTGGTTTCGTGGCTTGATGCTTCAAATCAATGTATCCCTGCCAAGCGGTCAAAGTGACACTTTTTCTCTTCCGCATTCCTCCAGAGTAGGGGACTTGCGGGTTCTGGCACAGAAGTCATTTCGACGTGGATTCTTGACGCTAACGGGTACAGACCATACAGTGGTGGATCCTGCAAAGTCTCTGCAGGCTGCAGGACTTAAAGATGGAGACCATCTGACAGCCATTGTCATAGAAGCAAAAGTAGCGGCAGCAGCAGCAGCTTTTGCCTTGTTTTGCCCTGGAGGTGACCGGGTTGTCACTTGGGGCGATCCAGATTGGGGTGGTGACAGCTCTGAAGTCCAGGATCTGCTCAAGGGTGTCCAACAGATTCAAGCAACCAATTACGCATTTGCTGCGATCCTGGCAGATGGATCCGTTGTGACTTGGGGCGATCCAGATGTTGGTGGTGACAGCTCTGCCGTCCAGGATCAGCTGAAAGGTGTCCAACAGGTTCAAGCAGCTCGAGATGGCGCATTTGCTGCGATCCTGGCAGATGGGTCGGTCGTGACTTGGGGCAAACCAGATTGTGGTGGTGATAGCTCCAAAGTACAAGATCAGCTCAAAAGTGTCCAACAAATTCAATCAAATATAGCCGTATTTGCTGCGATCCTGGCAGATGGGTCCGTTGTGACTTGGGGAAATCCCGATTATGGTGGTGACAGCTCTCAGGTCCAACATCAGCTCAAAGGTGTCCAGCAGGTTCAAGCAGCTGACGCCGCGTTTGCTGCAATCCTGGCAGATGGCTCGGTTGTGACTTGGGGCAGTCCATGTAATCCAGATTTTGGAGGTGACAGCTCTGAAGTCCAGGATCAGCTCAAAGGTGTCCAACAGATTCAAGCAACCGATAGCGCATTTGCTGCGATCCTGGCAGATGGATCCGTTGTGACTTGGGGCGATCCAGATGTTGGTGGTGACAGCTCTACCGTCCAGGATCAGCTGAAAGGTGTCCAACAGGTTCAAGCAACTCGAGATGGCGCATTTGCTGCGATCCTGGCAGATGGGTCGGTCGTGACTTGGGGCGAACCAGATTTTGGTGGTGATAGCTCCAAAGTACAAGATCAGCTCAAAAGTGTCCAACAAATTCAATCAAATATAGCCGTATTTGCTGCGATCCTGGCAGATGGGTCCGTTGTGACTTGGGGAAATCCCGATTATGGTGGTGACAGCTCTCAGGTCCAACATCAGCTCAAAGGTGTCCAGCAGGTTCAAGCAGCTGACGCCGCGTTTGCTGCAATCCTGGCAGATGGCTCGGTTGTGACTTGGGGCAGTCCATGTAATCCAGATTTTGGAGGTGACAGCTCTGAAGTCCAGGATCAGCTCAAAGGTGTCCAACAGATTCAAGCAACCGATAGCGCATTTGCTGCGATCCTGGCAGATGGATCCGTTGTGACTTGGGGCGATCCAGATGTTGGTGGTGACAGCTCTACCGTCCAGGATCAGCTGAAAGGTGTCCAACAGGTTCAAGCAACTCGAGATGGCGCATTTGCTGCGATCCTGGCAGATGGGTCGGTCGTGACTTGGGGCGAACCAGATTTTGGTGGTGATAGCTCCAAAGTACAAGATCAGCTCAAGGGTGTCCAACAGGTTCAAGCAACTTCACTCGCATTTGCTGCGATCCTGGCAGATGGCTCGGTTGTGACTTGGGGCAGACCAGATGTTGGTGGTGACAGCTCTGAAGTCCAAGATCAGCTCAAGGGCGTCCAGCAGGTTAAAGCAACTGACTTCGCATTTGCTGCGATCCTGGCAGATGGGTCGGTTGTGACTTGGGGCCATCCAAATTGTGGTGGAGACAGTTCAGCAGTTTCAGATCAGTTTGCAGATCTATAGCGGGATTGGCGCAAAGTCGCCTTGCTGTTCAGCATCCTACCTCAGCAAATATTCTAAGAGGGCATGCCAAAAATAAGGGCGTGGGGCGTTGCGAGAAGAAGCACAAAGATGTTACAACCTGAGCGTTGGAGAATCCGAAAGGTTGAACCCAGGGTCCTTCAAACTTTGAATTGAAAATTGTGTGGATTTGTACCAGTCTCAGGGTGTCCCTCAGATTTTTTTTGGTGTTTTAGCTACCTATCGGAGCACATCATATTTATCATTTCTGCGGTATTTCCATCAAGTTCACTGGAATGTTCTTGCCCTGGCCAACCAGCAGCAGAATGGAAAAACTTGCAGTGTCACGCTGGCAATATCCCATTCTATCCCCATTGTGGTTGATTCCCCGACCGGCTAAGCTCTAGAGACTTCTGGCTAAACCTCCCATGTTCAGATTTTTTTGCGAAATCATGTGATAGCCTCAAAAAGTCAGCAAAGGTGTCCATATTTAGTTTGTTAAAAGCCACATTTCGCAAATGAATTCCCAAAATCCATGGCACAGGACTTACCCAAGATCGTGGCTGCAGTGGCGGCCAAGATCAGTCATCGACCCTTTGAGAGCGAAATCCCTAAGGTTGCGGGGGGGATGGTCAGAATTGGTGGTTTTTGTGTGAAAAAATGGGTGGAAAAAAGCAATGTTGTGGTGGTTCAAACATCTTGGTGGTATATACCACATGTTTAACCCCGATTTTGGGAAAACTGATTCTTTTCATGGTTGATCATCATTTTCCCAATTCAAATACGATTATTTGGGGGGGTTGTACACCATTTTGCAAACACGCCCATATCCCTTTATAACCCTTCATTGCCCTCTATAACTATATCTTGGGGTATCCGAATCTTTTATCTACAAGGCCATAGTGGAGAAGGTTCAGAGGCCAGGGCTCAGAATTATTAGTTCACATCCCCCTTCATGGTGGTTAGTATCTACCAATAGCGATGTTCATATTTATTGTGTTGTGATTAATGGGATTAATCGCTATTGATAGCTACTACCACAATGAATTTATTGATAGTTGGATGAGTTTTAAACTACTTGGATGAGTGACAATCCAATAAAATTACTTGGATGAGTTTTGACGACCTCGCATTGTGACTTCGGAATGATGCTGAATGTGGGACCATCCCCACATGGGGATATACAAGTTTCAACTATGGAGATACACTGGGGATATAATGGAGACATTAGATCTACAACCGCCTTGGCATGTTGGTTTATGATTATTTTCCAAATTCTGGCAGAGGCTGTGGCCATTTTTGTCCAGATCAACGCAAAATCCAAGAAAAATTGAGTGATCACTGACAATGCGGAAAGGGTCTCAACAGAAAATAAAAAGAACATTAAACTGTAAAGATTGAGGTTGAGGTCTCAAGTCAGGGTGATATGTCCACATGCTGTTTAATCCTGGAGGTTTTACTTGCAGTGTCTTGGGCAGGTCCTTTCCACCAAGCATGTCCAAAACGGTGTATCTCCCCCATGTTTTCATTTTACATAGGTGAAGTGATGAGAAACTACGGAAAGTGATTATGATGCCTTGCCACCACACTATATGTTTAGGGGTATCATGCTTCATTGTGCCATTCATTGTGGTTCGATTGACCCATCAATCATGAATCACATGAATTACCATCATCAAACCAAACTGATTATGGAAAGTGAGAATGATTTTTTGTTTAGCCATCATTAAAACCACACATAGCCACCCTTTATAATGGGTCTATACCACATGAATTATGGCTCTCATGCGCCAGCCAGGCTGCCAGTCGGATGGTGGTGAAGTTATTGACCGAGATTCTTGGGACGACTTTGTTCACCAAAGATAGGGGTGGCACGATTTTACCAACAAGAATTGGGTTATAATGGGGTTTTACCAACAAGAATAGGAGGAAAGTAGAACATATTATATATATATATACATCTATTGAAGACTAGTGGAGTTGGGTATAGAATACGATATAAGTGGGATATTTTGGCTTACAAACAACTGAAGAATGGATTAATTGTGAGTTGATCTATAAAATTATAGAACCAACAAAAATAGGGATATGATATAACTGTATGATAGCTGGGTGTGTCTGAAAACGGGATGTCCCACCCTTTTATGGCAATGTTGATTGGGAAAATGTGGGTGACCCTATTTTCAGACAGAGCGTCTTACAGGGATAGCATGGGATAGTTCATGAGATACAGCTTTGGTGCTCCCCAGTTATAGTTGGTTTATACCCCCCCATCAACTATAGATATGTGTAACTGTCTCATAAACGTTAGCTATTGGAGTTTGTTGCACCACCTTAGCCGGAACTATGAGGCCACCAGTTGGCTACCAAGTGTTGGATGATTTTTAGTGATGCTGCCGTTGGTTTAGATTCACCTAACTATAGCTGTAACCATCATCAACGCAACGCAAGTTGTTTAAGCAAACCAACTTAGCTATAAACGAAGACCCCACCTATTAAAGTTGCGGAAGATTTTTGGACCCACGACATCTGGACAGACATTTGAATGTTATATGGACTTTCGCCAATCCCTCCCAACTTGGATCTAAGTGTATAGTTATCCCACTAAGTGTGGTATATCCCCCTATTATTCCCCTGTTATTTCCCTATGTTTTCCCTATGATTTCCCTATTCTCCCATGTGTCTAACCTTCTTTTCCGCAACATGGAGATCCCAAGGACTCCAGTGAGAGACGTGCCGGACGCCATCATCCAAATGTTGATGGAACTGGCCTCCAGAGAACGTCCCAACGTACCATGGCGCAAACGCCAGTTGGCGCAGGGGGAATCTCCCCATAACCATGGAATGTATGTGTATATATATATATGATAGGATAATAGGATAGGATATATTATGATAGGAAAATGTAGGATATATTTTGCAGAAGCATATAATGTGTATATGGATATGTAACATATTTACATATAATAGGATAATACAGTAGGGGCATCGTGGGAAATAGGATAATATGGTAGTAACAATGGAATGGAAATCGGATAATATAGTAGGGATATCATCGGAATATAGGATATACCATGATATACCCTCTGGTAATTTAACATAGCGAACTGGAGGTCATGGATGAATCTTCCCACATGACCCATACTTTTTCGTCAAGCCATGAAGGGTTATATCCTCTGGTTTGGTTTAAAAAAATCACCATATGTAAATCATGTGCATCATCTGGCCATGGTTTCCATAGCGAACTGTTGAATAACCCGAGGATAAGCATCTCATTGTTTCCCATTAGAATCACATTAGAATCCCATTATAATCCCATTAAATTCCTACAAATCCCACTAAGTTACCATAGACATGTTCCATTTGGTTATAGACCCTTGATTTTCAAGTTCTCAGTTCGCAGATCTCGCGTCGAGGTGGATCCTTTGCCCCTTGTCCAATCCGCCGGGGAAGCTCAGTGTCGCTGGGATGATCCAGTGGAAAACCAGGCAACTCAAAATGATTGACCCATTAATGGTTAACTGGTTGGTGGTTTGGAACCATGGAATTTTATGACTTCCCATATATTGGGAATAATCATCCCAACTGACGAACTCATATTTTTCAGAGGGATTGAAACCACCAACCAGTAAATAATACGAAATTTGATCAATTCTGTGGGTTCCAATCCACTTTTGTTCCCATCTCTCGTTCATTGGATTTGTTTCTGGTTGAAGTGGGGTGCGGATCCGTATTTGGGAGGGTTTGACTGAGTTTTCAGACATACCATGATGTTTGATTTTCAACCCGTCGAAATTTGTATGATTATCTTACAGGCTTTGCAAGGGGAACTAGACCACTGAGTCGTGACCAAAGTGCAGGTGAATCGCTGTTCTATGTAATTTACATCCCGTGTTTGTTCATAAACCAAAAAAAATCAGTTGATCTGCGGGAAATTGGGCAATATTGGGCACCTCAAGAATTCCATGGTGTACTAAATATGACGTTCCCTCCTTGGAATTCATAGCTCGTCCATCCAAAAGTCTCCATCGGCAGGCGCTTCAGCAGATCTTGGATGATTACCGGGCTCCACGGATCCTTGGAGCTGGGAAAAAAATCGCCGAATCCCATGGAAAAAATGGGGTGATTTTACCTGCTGTCATGGGATTCAACCATGGAAAGTGGTGATAAAAAATGTGGATTCAATGGAAGTACTTGGGGGATACCTTGGCTACTTGGGGAGTTGCAGTTGAGGTGAATTTTAATGTGTGAAAGCCTGGCTGCCATAAACCTACCATGTCCGGTGATGATAAACAAATCGCACACATAGAAACGGTGATGGAATGAAGATGGTTTATAGCATTGGGTTTACGATATTCATCGATTTTTATGTCAATATGTTGGCCGCAACACTTGCAATTTGTGGTAGGTGTCTAAACAAATCTTGTTTAAAAGGGCAAAAAATGTGATGGTTCCCGAGTAGTTCACTGAACATCCCCCATGGTTCCACACGAAGTTTCACTTTTTTTTGGACCAAAATTGGGGGATCATCCCAAGTCACTTCCAGCATTTTCCCGGGGGAGCGGGTACCGAAGCGGCCGAAGCTAGGGAGCAGCTCATCTCCACATTGGTTATTCCTGATGATTTTTGAGTCCTAGAATCAGTTTCAAAGAAAATACCAGGAAACCAGGTCGCGGGCGCGTCAGGCGCCTGGCGTTTTTATAGCGTTTCTGCATCAAAACGTCTCTTTTCAACTCTTTTAGCAGTTGTCGGCGTCGGTGTTTTTCACCAACTTTGCCAGCTCTTTCAGCATGACCAGTGGTGTACAAGTTTGGAGATTACATCTCCACACATATTGGAAACAACGACGTCGCAGAGATGGATTCACCTCTGACCCCACCAAAGTCTTCACTTTTCTGTGAAGATTGGAAAAAACAAATTTCTTCAGACTCAACCATTGTCGGTCGATTTGCTGCGTGCCAGCGATTTCCGACAACTTGGTACTGTTGATGTCAGTGAGCAGGCGGCAAAACTCTTTGTTTTGGTGACTCACTTGGTGACATTTAATTTTCAGATGCCGGGCAGCAGTCAACCAAGCCTTCGCTCCGTCGGAATACAATGCCCTTGCACCTCGCCGGGCAACATTGTTCAGCAACCCCGAAGCCTGAACATCTTTCCAGGATTCCACCGGCGGTCTGCTTTTTGGATACGTCACCTCAAGTGCAAGATGTAGCGATAAAGGAAAACTCTTGTGAAATCATGTCACGGAAATGCAGGTAACATATATCATATCTGCCTGTGTTACGTGACATTAGGATGGAATGGGGAAGAAAACAACGCAACCACTCAGGATCTTTGGGCACAACATGTTGGATAGGAAGCATCATCATTATCCGAAGTGGGAAGAATTATGGAATCATATTTGAAAGCGAAATGTACTCTGTCTGGCAGAACATATTGAAGTTTGACGGGTGAGAACGGAAAAATTTCATCTAAGTAATGTGCCCTGACCAGTCCTGAAAGCAACGCATCAGATAACTTCGAAACTGCACGACACAGATGATGAGGCTGATCATGAGATTGATGAACATATTGATTTGCATGTTGATTGTAAAGGTCATATTCGTGATTATCATGAGGATGTTTTTTTTATTATTATTCGGAAAAGATTGGTTTCCCGATATTACGTGCCCCTTGCAAACTAAAACAAGTCAAGTGGCTGTTCCACATGTTGCGCAAGAGCGTCAGAAGTTCCGATGACAGCATGGCAAATCTACTCCTGTCCGATTCTAGAATCAACTGCGCCTCCTCCACCAACGCATCCACAGGATGAAACAAATCCCGAAACTCCAACAGTTCTCGGCCCATCACCAGCCACGAAGCTGCCGTGTTAACACAAGGGAACGTCTTCAGCAACCAATCCCAAGGAATGCACCCGGTGCATCTTAATGCAAACAGCAAGGTGAGAAGTTCGAAAAGTTCGACATGGGTCAGCATGGCAAAAGCTACACATTAGGTATGAATCGACATGGAAATGGAGCCGAATCAGCTTTCTCATTTCTTTCTGGCGTACCAACTCAAGTTCCAAGACATATTTTGACTTGAAATTTATTCCCCTTCTTTTTTATTTAAAAAAAACATTCTCCCCATACCGAACTTCAATGCTGCCGAGTGTTGACACAGATCTTCCCCTCGCTGAGGATGGCACCTGGGCCAAGAAAAAGCACAAAATCCCCCAGTACAGGTATTTCCGTAATGCATGATGCACATACTTACCTCAGAAACCTGTACTGAACCCATGTTCAAGTGACACATGTGTTGAATTGAGCATTAGATGCACATAGAAAACTACACCTTGGATAAATATCTTTAAGTTAAATAAAGAACTTGCTAACACACACCCCAACAGCCCCCACCGACAGCAACGTAGCATGACGAGAGTGCGCAAGTGCAAGAGAAGAGCTTGTCAACGTAGCATCACGTAGTTGTGTAAATTGAAGAGAACGTGCAGTAGCGTAGCATCATGTAGTGAAGAGAACGTGCAGTAGCGTAGCATCACGTAAGTGTGCAAGTCCAATGAACGTTAACATCCCCCCCACCCACCCACCCACCCAAGCCCCCCACCCCAGTCAACGTAGCATCACGTAGTTGTGTAAATTGAAGAGAACGTGCAGTAGCGTAGCATCACGTAAGTGTGCAAGTCCAATGAACGTTAACATCCCCCCCACCCACCCACCCACCCACCCCCACCCACAGTCAACGTAGCATCACGTAGTTGTGTACATTGAAGAGAACGTGCAGTAGCGTAGCATCACGTAGGTGTGTAAACTGAAGAGAACGTGCAGTAGCGTACCATCACGTAGTTGTGTAAATTGAAGAGAACGTGCAGTAGCGTAGCATCACGTAGGTGTGTAAATTGAAGAGAACGTGCAGTAGCGTAGCATCACGTAGTTGTGTAAATTGAAGAGAACGTGCAGTAGCGTAGCATCACGGAAGGGTGCAAGTCCAATGAACGTTAACATCCCCACCCACCCACCCACCCCCCAACGAACCCATTTAACACAGAAAACACACGAAATTACCAGGCGCCTGGTGCGACCGCTGGCAACCACATATCTAGGTAAATTATAACGACTTCACTGCGAGCTCAGTGGAATAATGGTTAGCAACTCTTCCAAACTAGCCCAACAGTGCAGATTAGTGAAATATTCGAATTGACCCAGATATAAATTCATGTGAAGATCCATTGAGTCATCTCTCCGAGGAAGGAAAGCATTTCCAAGGTGGTAGTTTGGGCTGCCCAGCACATGGGGATGGGACGCCCCAAATGGGTCACTGGGATTTTGCAGTTAAGGAGTCCCCCGGTGGGATGTACCCCTTTGTGGCAGTATGTTGCCTCAAAAAGGAATGATAAACCATGGGATTTTGAGGCTTACCCCACTGAATTTCAGACATATGGATTTTTTTAACACAATTTTACTTATACAAATATAAATACATATAATTACATTATATAAACATTATATAAACAATATTTAAACATTACAGGAACATTATAGAAACATTATTTAACCATTGTATAATCATTATATAACTATTATATAAACATTATATAAACATTATATATATATATACATATAATATAATATGTGCGTTTATTTGTTTATTTAGTACCCATAGAATTTCCCATTACATCCCCCACAGATGCGAGACCTCCGGGGTGCCAGGATCAAGCAATGGATTCCGCGCAGGACTTGGAGGCTAAGGCGGCTAAGGCCTCGGGATCAACGGTGGTGCCCAGTTATAAATTGCTTACAATCCCATGAAAACTATAGCTGGTTGGTGGTTTCAAACATGACTTTTATTTTCCATAATATATATATATATACATATATATATATACATATATATATATACATATATATATATGGGATGTCATCCTTCCCATTGACTTTCATATTTTTCAAGATGGTTAAAAACCACCAACCAGGTAGATATATCACCTATAAACCATAATAATCCCAGAAAAGATTTTTGTCATTATATCATTATATCACCAACAAAAACCATGGTGAAATTGGACTTATTTGCACCAACTTAGCTAACGAACTGGGGCACCACCCTGTACTAAAACAATAGTAAAACATGGTTAATATGCAGATATTTTTTTACTATTGTGTATCAAAACTGTTTTCAAGTCATTTTAGTAAAACAACAGTTAAACAATCAGTCAAACAATAGTGAAATAATATGAAATATGGGACCAGAGATTAAAATGTCTAACTATTATTTTACTATCTGTTTTACCATTGTTTAGTAGAACGTCATCGAAAATTATTGGGCTACCCAATGACTTGACCCACAATGGCCGCAAGTTTCAGATATTTTTACGTTCGTGGATTCTAATTCAGCCAGATCTTGTAATCCCTCCCCCTGCGAAAATCCTGCATGTCCAGTACTTGATTGAGCTGAAATGGTTTGTTAGGAATAGGTCCATGGGGGGGCTGATGAATTTAACCCATAGTTGCAATAGTATACCGGTGGCATAAGCCCAGGAATCAGGGACTGAAAATTGAATGTTGTTGAACCGTGGTTTCTTTGAACCATGATTTCTTATTGATTTTCCCTTAAATCAAACCATTTATTTAGCCACAAATCATGAATCAAGCCAGTTTGGACGTCACCAAGCCGTCGGGCCGCCAGTCATTGCGGCTCTGCCCGACACAGCGTGCGAGTGTCATTCAATGTATTGCAGTTGGCTCGAGATCGGATTGGCTCTTAGAAATTGTTGTTTCGTTTGAAGATGCTTCAAATCAGTGTAACTTTGCCAAGCGGTCAAGGTGAGACATTTTCGCTTGAACCGTCCTCCAAAGTAGGGGACTTGAGGGTTTTGGCACAGAAATCATTTCAACGTGGCTTCTTGAGGCTTGTGGCTGCAGACCAGCGGGTGGATCCTTCAAAGTCTCTGCAGGATGCAGGACTTGAAGATGGAGACCACCTGACAGCTATTGCTGTAGACGCAAAGCTAGCGGCAACAGACCAAGCTTTTGCGTTGTTTTGCACTGGAGGTGACCAGGTTGTCACTTGGGGGGCTCCAGATTGTGGAGGTGACAGCTCTGAAGTCCAGGATCAGCTCAAGGGTGTCCAACAAGTTCAAGCAACTTTAGGGGGCGCATTTGCTGCGATCCTGGCAGATGGCTCGGTCGTGACTTGGGGCTATCCAGCTGCTGGTGGTGACAGCTCTGCAGTCCAGGATCAGCTAAAAGGTGTCCAACAGGTTCAAGGAGCTTACCGCGCATTTGCTGCGATCCTGGCAGATGGGTCCGTTGTGACTTGGGGCGATCCATTTTCAGGTGGTGACAGCTCTGAGGTCCAGGATCAGCTCAAGGGTGTCCAACAGGTTCAAGCAGCTCACCGCGCATTGCTGCGATCCTGGCAGATGGGTCCGTTGTGACTTGGGGCGAGCCAGATTGTGGTGCTGACAGCTCTGCAGTCCAGGATCAGCTCAAGGGTGTCCAACAAGTTCAAGCAACTTTGGGGGGCGCATTTGCTGCGATCCTGGCAGATGGCTCGGTCGTGACTTGGGGCGATCCATTTTCAGGTGGTGACAGCTCTGAGGTCCAGGATCAGCTCAAGGGTGTCCAACAGGTTCAAGCAACTCGATCTGGCGCATTTGCTGCGATCCTGGCAGATGGGTCCGTTGTGACTTGGGGCGAGCCAGATTGTGGTGGTGACAGCTCTGCAGTCCAGGATCAGCTCAAGGGTGTCCAACAGGTTCAAGCAACTTCAGGAGCATTTGCTGCGATCCTGGCAGGCGGGTCCGTTGTGACTTGGGGCAGACCAGATGATGGTGGTCACAGCTCAGCAGTTTCAGATCAGTTCGCATTTGTGTAGCTGGATTGGCGCAACGTCACCTGGTGGATCACATGGAACGACTGTAACCTGAAAAATGCCTGAACCCAGATTGAAAATGGGCCTGGGAAGAATATCATGGTTGTTCAACTGGGGGGTGGCATTACATTTCATAATGTGAAAAAGTACATGTCCGTACGCAACTGGATCACCACCCCGAGTTTTTCACTTGGCTATGGTATCACAAATAAATGAACATGATCAGGGATTTCTGACCTATACGTCATGCAAAATATGTCCGCCAGGCAATGCTTGATTCCATGTGTTGCATGAATATGTCAGGAGCTTCTGCATATGGATAGAGGGATGGTACCCCGATCGCACACCTATATGTACATGCACCTTGACCCCCAACTGACCCATAAAAATCAGCCCGCAAAAGTGTGTTTTTCCAAACTTATTGGTAATTACATGTTTAGTTGGTAAATTGATGGTCAATGTACATTTATACATATTTCGTATTAATGTTACAAATCCATACATTCATCTTTCTATAAACACATATATATATATACACATATGATGTGGACTTCACCCCATGCCATGGTCACAATCGGGCGATAGGCCGAGGAAGCAAAGGAAGCAGAACCGCGGAGTCTCTTGGAGTTTCCACCATGGGTGGATTTTTTAGACGAAGGGTGACAAATATACGGGTGATAGTCCCCCCATATTTGTAACAGAATGCACAACTGATAGTGTTTTTTGTACTGGTGATGTGTATATCGGTTGCTATAATTAACCATAGACATTGACAAATCCTCCGGTCTAGTGAAGTATAGTAACTAAGATTGATAAATCGCAACTATTGTGGTTACTACAATTGTAAACCATAGTAACTAATGTTGATAAATCACAACGATTGTTCTGGTTACTATTTTAAACATTGTCAAACAATCCCCAATAGTTGTTTGCCATGGGTGTGAATAATATCTTTACATGGTAGGTTTATCATGGAATGTACCACATTAATTTCGTACTTCGATCGTGGTGCCCGGCGCATGGCTGTTATTTTGTTGGCGGACGAACCATGGTTGGTACTGGCTGGTGGTTTCGAATGAAAAAAAGGTCTATTCCTATTTTGGAATGATGATCCCCAATTCATTTCCATATCTGGTGATGACACACACATTGAACACATGGAAAATCACCATGCTAAGAACGGTAAACCATGGTGTTTACCATCTATTTCGATTGGGGCCATCGAAAATCCATGGCGAACTGGCTGAACATGGCGAACCATGATTTCCATGTATGTTGTTGAAGGTGGACCCAAAAAATCCACGGAATCAAAAAAAAACATGTTTGTTTCCACCTTTGAGGATTTTTCTGGTGTTTTTTTTCCACAAACCTTTGGATTTCCAATGGCTTTGTGGGGATTTTCTCAGTTCGGCCGATGGTTTTTCCGGTTTCGTTCGAGGTGAGAAGGTGCTGCGGGTCATCACCGATGCGGCGGATCACTTGGCCAAAGGCGGAGTAGTTACCCCCAGTTGTGACCTATGACCATTGGGTGTATAGCCTCTCAATCACCAACAGTGATTGGGGAATGTCCACTTTTTTGACATGTTTTTTGAGCAACCAACTAGTGATTGGGGAATTGGAACATGTTAGAAGCAACTATAGTGATTGGGGGTAATATGATTTTTCAAGTTTGGGTTGAGGGGGGCAGAACTCTAGATGTATAATCCCCCGACAAACTAGTTCGTTATTTGCCCCGAATCAACCCAAACGTGATATTTTACTTATTTGCACACCAACTTAGCCAACAAACTGGGGCCCCATCCTGTAGGATTGGGCTAACAATTCCCAAAAAGTGAGGAACGGTTCAGTGAATCATTGGAAAATACACCCAGATTGGTTGATGAATTCGATTGTGCCCCAGAGATCGTGATGTTATTTGCTACTCGAATGGTATCCCCAATACGGCCCAGGTGGTTTTAGGTCAGGATTCCAGGATTAATAAATGACCAACAAATTCAGAACTGGGAAATGGAAAACCACCTGGTTTGGGTGGACTATGGATTTCCTGAATAGTGGTGAACTTGGTAAAACTGCCATAGAACCCCAAGACATGGAACTGGAAGATGGTCTTCAAATGGGAAATTGGTAGTTTTACTTTGAGGTTCCATGGTGGTTTCCGGATGCTTGCGAGTGTTCGGTGAAGGTGGTAATTCTTCGTGCAGAAATGGAGGATCACACGAAATCCCGTATCAAACTGACGCAACGTCAACCGGGAAAGCGCTCCAAGTTGACCAAAGCGTCCCAGTGTGAGTTGTTTGGAGGTCAACAGATGCCCAAATTCTCCCAAGTTCAGATGCCAAAATTCATATGCAGTCAGAATGCTAGTGACTTCAATGATGTTTTTCTTGCACGATTTCCAGGTTCTTACAGCATTTTTGAGTCGGGGTTTGCTACAAAGTGTTTCTCCGAAACAATGAGTGGTATGGATGGCATTTAGGGATCAGAAACCCTTGTTTTTGACAGGGTCGCCTGGGTATCAACTGGGATCGGAAAAACAATTGGTGTTTTTAAAATGCTATTATTGGGATGATCACTGTCCCAATATGATAATACATGAGAAATGATACTCCTAACTATTGGAAGTACTGGGATTCTCAGTCATCTCGGACAATCACGAGCTCACTTTTTTTTGCGATTGCCAGCGCCAACGATACGTTTTCTGAAGAGTGCGCCTGCAAGTGATTAGCCAGCTCTAAATGATCCCAGCGCCCATGATCCAACCAGCATCCCCATCGAAGAATCCTGGCAAAATCTGTGTATTTCCAGTGGATAAAATGGGAATCTTTGGAGAATCCCTTCCCAAGATCCAAACAATCAATTCAACATAATTCAACTATCACCACTATCACCATAGCATAGAACCGTCCATTTAACATCATGCACTTTTTTGCCATACAAACTAGATTGAATCTGCATAGTCAAACAACATAAAAGATCCATTAAGCACCACCAATAACCCGAATCGACTAATTCATACCAATGTTTACCGTAAAAACTAAGTACAAATGCCCGTTTTTGCTGGGTAAAACCCTATAGACCACAATCGACTGCTTAATGCCATGGTTTCACTGGTTAAAATCTCACTAAAATCTCCAGTTTTGCTGATGAAACATCTATGTTCAACACCAGCTCGACAGGATCTAGCGACGATAGCGAGGATGGGTGAACCTCTTGGGGGAGAATCCATGGATTTCGGGAGATGTTAAATCTCCATGGAATTTGCCGTAGCTCCATTGGTTGGGTGATTTTGTTCTCAATTTTGGGCAAACGTCGATAGTTCCCACTACTTGGTGAAAGATAGGGGCTAACCTCATGATTCACAACGGCTCTGGGTGAGATGGCATTAGATGATGGGATTAATAACTTCTCCCAATCACCAGCCCTAGTGCTTTCCCGCTTGAAGGCATCAGTTTTTTTTGTGTTTGCATATGCAATTCCATGAAAGCAAAGCTGTTTTGCAGGGCTTCCCATGATGGGTCATGATCATCTCTATATGTATGTAGCTGATATAGCTCTTGAAATCCACCAATGATCAGTCCGGTTTGTGGTCAAAACATGTTGAAACCCCAGAAATGAAACCTAGATTATATATCTCCATATATTGACCATATATTGTTCATAATGTTAGATGTCCATACATTTGTCAATTGATATGTTTGGATGTCCATCTGGATACATAACCCATTAACTGGAGTAATTATGTATATAACCAGTGTGGTTATGATATATAATTCCCATATAACCGCCATAATTGCCGTAAAAAAAACTTGTGTGTGTGCTTGTGTGTTTGTGAATGATGTTTTGATGTTTTTTGTGTCCTCTATCTTTAGTCACGGGGGTGTTTTGTGTACATCTTTTTCTCATCCCCTGCGCCTAGCAGCGCTGCTGAAACTGACAAAGTTATGATACATCATGGTTCCTGTTTCTACCGAAAGATTGGGTAGAAGTAGCACCACAATTCTTTGAGTCCGTCTCAGCATGGTGCGCATTTCATGTGTGATTTGTTGCTTTCATCGGAAAGTCCACTGTCAGGATGTGGACATCTCGACCACGCAGGGATCGGAGGCTGATGGGCTGGGGTCGCCGCGCATTTCCCAGGAATTCCCAATGCCCGGAGCGCCCTAATTTCACAGGTGGTAGATTTTGTAGATAGCAACGGTTCAAGGATTGCGGTTAGAAAATAGGAAGATAAAAATGCAAAAGAACTATGAGGATAGTTCTTCAACAGTGCAACCCAAAAACCATTGGATGATCAATACCAGCACCATTGAATATCTTGGATAGGATGTCAAATACGCAGAGATGATGTCAATGTTGTTTGTATTTTTCAAAGCTTCTCTTTGTATGTTCATGGTGTTACAAGCAAGATTGATATTCCTTAAAGTGTTTACCATTACTATATCGCATAAAAACGCCCCATGAAAAGATCATATTCCAACACTTTGAAAACGGGATATTTTTTGGGATCACAGTCCCTGGGTTACCTAACAAGCCTAAAAAAAGTACTGCCGCGTAATTTGATCTAGCTGGATAATACGAAATAAACATCTATAAACTAGTCCCATCTTTAGTCCCTTATAATTTGATCCTCTACAATACACCAATAACGAAAAAGAGTTCTTTGATTGGGAACTCCCATGGTCAAAGTCGCCTGGTTTCCGGTGAAGATCTTCCAATCCGGAATCCGCACCGCACAGGCGGAGGAGGAGACAGCCGAGGTGTGCATGCTGAAGGGATCTACTTGGTTTTGCTTTGAAATTTATTTGGAAAAAAAATGAAGCAAAAATTGTAGACATCTCATTCGGGGAAAAGTGGTACCTTCTGGGCAAGTTCACTCTCTGTTTGGTCAGAATTCAGGGTGCCAGGGTGCTGGCCACCTTTCAGATCCTTTCAGGGCCCAGGAAACGAATTTCATGATGCACAAAGCATCGGAGATCGGTTTAGCTTCTGTGGTCCCCAAAGCATATCATATTTCACATTGACATCATTGACCCAGACCATTTGGGGTACTGAAAGCAAAACATTGGGTTGGTTTTGGCTTAACCAATCAACCAGTTCACGAAGGCTTAATGAGCGTGATCATAGTCACAACCATACTGATGTACTTCATTGTAAGTGTGTCATTCATTAATGATGGACAACTGATGTTGTTCAGGTCAAGAATTACTTTAGAATGATACAGGACCACAATAATGGTTGATAAATATACAATTGGGCATAATTTACCACGTGATTTACCACATTCATTGTGGCTATAATTATACCACGTTATTTGATAGTTGTTATCTAGCTGATATGATTAGACAAACATTATTTGAAAAATATCGTAATCATGAGCAGCTGCTATAATTAGCTAATTATCAACTTATAATACCATCTAATTATCATAATGCCATTATTATATCCCGCCTTTATTAGATAATATACCATAGTCACAACAATAATGATTGTTGACAGTATGAATTATGATTATGATAATATCATAATTCATTAGATAATATACCAGAAAAATAGCTGATACTACCATCATATCAGCAGCTATTAAATACCATGTTTCTTGTACAATAATAGTTGGTTTACCATATTACTATGATTGATTTACAATATTCGATATTATGAGATACTGAGATACCATGACAATACCATAATATCTATATCAAATCAGCTACCAGGCCTCCAGTGCTAGCGACGAGACGAGCGAGACGGAGACCGAGACAGAGGTAGGGGGTTCCACAGAAGTTGGGGTGAACTCAACGGAGACCCATGACGTTCCGACTTATATCGTTCACAAGGGGTTTATATATATATACATATATCAATATATATATACATATATATACATAATATGTAGATATTAATGAAAGGTTGAAGATTATTGGCGAAGCAAACATCTTTGTGGCTTGGCACGGGACCGAACACCGCATTGCCAGGACTCCAACAGCAGCAACGTCACAGATGGCGCCATCAACAGTGCGGAGGTTCTGCCGGATGAGGTGCGACGAAAACTGTGTGGAACCATTGGGAAAAAAACATGGTTGTTTCTTGTTACAAGCAAATTTTGGTGTTCAAGCCACAAAAAATAGGGAGTGAACCAACAAAACATGGATAGTTTGTGCTACTTTAGCAACAGAAAATAGGCAGTTTCATCAAGAATGGGAGCAAAACCCTGCCTTCAGTGGTTCAGCCCTTGTCCCATTTCGTCAGCGTGCCAGGATCAACCTTACACTGCTGCCGAGATGATGAAGAGTGTTGCTCGTCAGCATTTCTGGATTCGGTATCATCCAATGTCACAAACCTACCAATATCTCATAGAAATGGTGTTTTGGGGGATGGTTCATTCTTGGCTTTACCGCAGTTATAAAGTTGACAAATAACTTCCGAACTTCGTTCATTCCCCAATTGCCAGGTTAGTAAATTCAAACCTTCTTGCAGAAGTTGTTGCATCCTGCTGTGATTCGGGCACTGGTTACATCGTTTCGATGAGCTAGAAACTTTGCTGCTTGCTGGTGTTTTTACACATGTGTTTTTTAATTCCGCGCAATGATCATCGAAAATTGTATTTATGAAATCAGGGGGGTTGAGCCACCTTCGACTAGAGAATGATTGTTGGCAGATAGCGGCTATCATCCATTTCTTTTGGTTGGTTTATCTTCATTTTAGCAACTATGTCCATCTATACCACAGGTGTATTTCATATTTGTCCCATATGACAATTACCATGTGTAATTTATATATACATATATTCCCTTTATATCCTCCAATAATCACCTATCTATATATATATACCCCTTCCAATGTGGTACCACCAATGCACTCTTTCGCAAGGTAGTTTGCAACCCTCATTAACTAGCTCGATATATCTACAAACAAAAACACCAACGATAGACATATCCGCCATAGACCCTAGTGAAATATCAGTGAAATAAACAAAGTGAACCTCAGGGGGAGCTACCTGGTATCCCCAAAATTGGGTGATCGACATGACTTCCATGACTTCACCGCAAGGCCAAAGAGCACAAGGGTACCGCCATACCGTCCAGCGCCAGTGGGACCCCTGGGACCCCGAGTCAGAGGTGCCGCGACGAATGGGACATTGTCGGCCCTCCCCATGGAGCAGCTGATAAGCTTCGTTATGTCTTTTTGAAAGTTTATGATTGTTTTTTTTCACCCTTCTTACTCCACCACCACCATAAACCTATCCCTTGGGGCAGAGTTTGCTAAAGCCAACTGTCTTACCTTTGCAAGGTTGTATCACCAGTTCTGGCTGCTTAAACACCAAAATTTGTTGGTCAAAGTCAGATATATCAAATGTCACATACCTATATACACATACACATACACATACATATACACATATACAGATATGTGTGTGTATATATATATATATATGTATTTATGTGTATATGTGTATATATGTGTATATATATATATATATTTATATATATACACATATATGTGTGTGTATGTATATATATATGTATTTTATCTGTAACATTGTAACATAACATGTACATATTACCGTGGTTTCTCTACCAACTTACCTAGATTTTGGAGCCAAATTCTCCTCCAACTTCCCCTCGCACTGCCGCAGGCCCATCGCGGTGCACAGCGTCCATTCCCCCGGGGCCCACGTGGTGAAGGCGGTGAGTCCTGGAAGTGACAAGCACGCAGGCGCCGAGTCGGGTGAAGATCACTCGTTGTCTCAAATGGGGGACTTATGAAATACCCTCTGGTAATTGAACATAAGTATGAAAAATCACCATTTTTCATTGGAAAATCCACTATAAATGGTGATTGTCCATAGTTATGTTCAATTACCACCAGAGGGTAACCAATTTAGAAAGTGTGAGAACCCATGGGAGTTGGAATATCCTGCATTTTTGGATTATCTCTTCTGGTGGGTAGGCCTAGGGAAATGGGCAACAAACTCAAAACCTCGTAGCCAATGAAAGTGGAAAGGGAAACAAAAAAAAACTTGGGAGGGTGGCCTTAAAAATTCGTGGGGAAAAGACGGCTCAAGAAACCACGGGTTTTTCCTGTGTTCCTATAGCGATCTTCCAGTGGCAAGTTGGCCAAGGATTTCAAGATTCGGTTTCCATGGATGCACCAAGATATCCCTGTTGGGTTTTCGACCAAAAGAAACCCAATGAAAGACGTAGAATTGGCAAAATGATTTGCTACCTTCAACCATATTTGGAAGGATGATCCCCAATGACATTCGTCATATCATATCTTTTAGGGCGTTGAAACCACCAAGCAGTTTTCACTGTTCAGCCGCACGGGAGCGCCATGGACGCGGAACCACCCCCGGCGGCGCACACACCGGTGCTGTATGTTGCACCTCTGCTTGCGCTGGGCCTGATGCTAAGCTTGGAAATGGTGCTATGGAGGTCCGGGATGGGAGCCACAGAATATCTGATGATTTCAGGAGGTAAGGTGTGTAATACAATGGCATATCATGACATATCTGTATAACCAACAATTTCATGTTTGTGAAAAACAGAGGATACCCCAGACTCCTCATTTTGGCAAGGAAAATGATGATCATGCGCTCAATTGGTGCGACATGTTCGGGGAAAAAGTCCGGGACGACTCCGGATGACGGTAGTTTTACCAGCAACAAATGTGTTTCGGTTTTTTCCATATGCTCAATGCTGTGAAATCAGTGGTGAGTAGCTGGGACTCTAAAAACTGTTGCGAATTGCATCGTAACGCCATAAAGTATCCTATACCCAGAATATTCCACCCATGATATCTTCCATGTATTTATAAAAGGGTATACAATCCAGCCGTCAAGAGTCGTGGGAGGATCCATGTGCCAAAAGCCAAGACCCTGGTGATGTCGTCGAATCACCTGAGCAATGCCCCAAAAATTGTCTTGGTTGATAGTCAGAAAAATCCAGATATACCCTCTGGTTATTCAACATGTGTAAAAGCACCTTCTTTAGGTGAATCATCATGAATCATCTATTTCTATGGGCCATGGCTTCCATAGCTATGTCAAATAACCAGTGGCTAGGTTGTCCTGCCTAGTTCAATGTCGTGATGTCCAATGATATGGGAACCCCCATCAACCAGTGGGAAGGGAATGACAGAAAATAAACCAAGTAGACTGAGAACTGTTCACCTGGATTTCTTTGAAATTATCAGAGTATGGATAATTTTATTAGAAACTATTGGATAATACTTGAATAATTATCGATTGTATATTTGCGAACATTCACAGAGAATAGTCTGGACACCCTTTGAGATTATATGTCCATCATTATTCCAAATATTATCTACAATATGATCTGTGATTCAATAAATAGCCCATTCACATCCAAAACATTGTCCTGTATGTACTGTATGTATATATTGAATTTTAATGTCCGTTGTCTGTCCAAAATCCCAGGATTTTTCTCTTCTTCTACCGCAGGCGCCAGGGAACTGAGGGAAAAACAGAAAAATGCTGGCGATGAAAAACGATGGGCGCATTGGAAAGCCAAAAAAGGAACAAAAACTTTTGATGTGTCTTCGGTTTACGGAATTGGAAAATGATTTTGGAACATGGAATCAGGTCATGTTGGGCCTCGGCATGTCATGCGGTTACCCACCTGTCCAACCTGCTGCGCCGGTTTCAGCTACGTCTCCAGGTTCATGCGGTACTTGGAAATGAAGTTGCTGCCATCTACATCGACACTTAGCAGGATTTGCATTTCCCATTCGCCGTGACTCAACCAGGGTACCACTGGTTTTCCAGCAAAATGAGTACTTATTTTATCGTCGTTTCATGCGGATTTCACCCTCACTTATAGGCTTTTTTGGGGGGCGTTTGACCATGAAATACAGGATGAGCTTTTCATACCAGTAGTACCGCACAAGGCGGTGGCGGAAAATTCAAAAATAGGAAACCTATAGGGGAGATTGGTTGTTGTGAATCACGGATGGCAGAGCGAAGGCACTGATGGACCGACAGGTGGTTGAGGTCTCCTCTCTTTCTCTCTCTTTCTTTCTCTTTCTCTGACTATCTACCTACGTACCTACCTATCTATCTATGTATCTATCTCACCTGTCTCTCTATCTCTCTATCTATCTATCTATCTTTCTTTCTTTCTTTCTTTCTTTCTTTCTTTCTTGTCTAGCTCTCTCTCTCTCTCTCTCTCTATCTACCTGTCTATCTAACTATGTACCTATCCACCTATCTATCTATCTACCCATCTATCTATCTATCACCTACCTATCTATCTATCTTTCTACCTATCTATCTATCTATCTATCTACCTATCTTTCTATCTATCTATCTACCTATCTATCTATCTATCTATCTCTTTGTCTGTCTGTCTATCTATCTACCTGTCTACCTGTCTACCTGTCCATCTGCAAGCTTGAAAACCAAGCTATTCTGCGAGACTTCTTCATTTTTCAAAGTTGACAATATCAAAAACGAAGCAATTCTGCGAGACATCCTCAATGTTTGAACTTGACAACGTCAAAAACGAAGCAATTCTGTGAGGCTTCTTCATTTTTCAAAGTTGACAACATCAAAAACGAAGAACTTGGCAACGTCAAAAACGAAGCAATTCTGCGAGAATTCCTCATTTTTGGAAGTTGACAACATCAAAAACGAAAAAAATTCGGCGAGACTTCCTTCAAAAATGGAAAGTTGAGTGCAGAGCTGACGGCCTCGTACCAATGCGTTTTGCCATTTTTCCAGTCCACCTGTCTAAAGTACTGCGCCTGCCACGAAAAAGTGATGCCAGGTCATACGAAGTGCTGCACCTGTCACGCAAAATCATCTCAGCAAACGTGAAGATCTGAGGCTCCAAAATGTAACCCCTCTCAGGAAATCAGCTCCTGGACCTCCTAACAGCTCTGATGAAGAAGTCTCTTGTACCGCGCTCTTGTACCGCGCCTGCCACGGAAAATGCATCTTTGCAGATCCTCGTCAAATGTCCCACGCCTGCCATCATTTTGCTCATTTTGACAAGGTGCACAATCCCTTGCGCCTGCCAGGCGAAACCACATCTGAACGTCCAAAAGTGCTCCGTACCCCGGATTTTTTGCACTTTTGATTTCGAAATGTGCTTCGCGCGACAACGGCGTGCACTTTTTAGACATCTCAACTTCCAAAGGTGGTCCGAGCATGGTTCGTTTTGTACATTTTGACTTCGAAATGTGCTTCGCGCCACAACGGCGCGCACTTTTTCGACATCGCAACTTCCAAAAGTGGTCCGGAGCTGGTGTGCTTTGTACATTTTGACTTCGAAATGTGCTTCGCGCCACAACGGCGTGCACTTTTTCGACATCTCAACTTCCAAAAGTGGTCCGAGAATGGTGTGTTTTGTACATTTGACTTGGAAATGTGCTTCGCGCCACAACGGCATACACTTTTTCGACAAGTGGTCCGGAGCTGGTGTGTTTTGTACATTTTTCCTCTTCATGCCTCTCCTCTGGCCAGCCGGCTCCGCACCCGCCGCTTTAGCGAGCCTACTTTTCGACCCTCCGGAGCCACAAATCATCGGAAAAACACAGTGTTTCGCGACTTTCCTACCTTTTCGCGCACCTGGATCTTCTTTCTTCTGACTCTTTTTCTTTTTCTGATCTTCTCTCTTCTACTCTTCTCTTCTCTCTGACTCTTCCCGTCTCTGCTTTTCATCTGTCCATATTGTCGGAAGTTTGACTTCTAAACTTCCTTCGATAACCTATGTCCAAGTTGTTCATCTAGGAAAATCGAGCTGGCGGACCCCTTGCTGGAAGAAGGTGCTTCGCCATCGTAACTGGACCATGGCTATTTGACGAACGGGGGACGACGGGCACTGTTCGAAAACCCCAGTTGGGGATGGTTTTGCTTATGAAGTTTATTTACTTCATTGCGCAAAAGGTATGACACTTTGCTACTTCAATGGGACCCAAGAATTAAACTGCCCAGGGTCATTCAAACTACCTTGCCATTGGACCATGCGGAGGGAATCCGAACAGCCCAGGACTATAGCTGGAAAATGAATTTGGGAGCTACTCCAGGATCTTCCAGTTGGATACATGACCTGTCAAGGAAGAATCATACTACATCTTCACAGATTGTGAAACCTCCGCCGTGTGCAAGCAAAAAGCGGGAAACTGCACATAGACCATTTGCATAATGCAGGTTTACGGTGGTTTTTCTGCAATATGTCTCCAGAATTTCAGGCACTTTGTCGATGATTCGGTTGAAACACGGCCGTTTTATTTGCCTGAATCCAAACCAAGATCTCTGGAGTTTATCCACAAATAGCGTCCCCCTAAAATCCCAATGTTTTATTTTATCATAATTGACTGTGTTTATTCAAAATGCCATAGAATGGTGTGTCGCGATTTTGACCCAATCTTTTCATGGCCACGAAATTATATAGAAAACCATGGCCATCAAACAGATTTTGGGGTATGAATTCCGCATGTCCAACCCAAATCACATCAAGTTGGTTGTATAGCCCTTTAAATCCAATTAATTATCTCCCATTATGTACCCATTGGTGGCTGTTATGCCCGATGCTCCCAGTGACATATGCGTCGCTGGCAGATTCAAGGTATCTGGCTCCAAGGTCGATGGGTTGTGCAGAGCTCTTGCTGCCGTTGCTCGTTGATGCGGTGGTCAGATGTGGTCAGTTGGGCGTAGATCTAGAACCAGTTGGGGGTTAGTTCTAGCCGCTTAGCCACTTGGGGCACTGGTCTACAGAACCATAGGGGCCTAGGGGTTCCCAACTTTTGGAGGTGAAAATAGTGTCTCCACATTTTCTTATTGGGCTCATCTTGAGCGATCCAAGTTAGTTACCAAAATCCATCGCATGAATAGAACGTAAAGATCTGAATCACAGAAATCAATCGGGCATTCTCAACAACGGGGGATGAGTTCCAGCTGTCGATTATTTTAAGAGAAAATCTAACCACAAATCATGCGTGCTTACCCCAATGTACAGGTTTCAACCCTGAATTTTCGAATGATGCTCAACTTGGAATGAGGTGCCGGAACTGGTAGCTGTTTGGGTTCTATACATTGCTCAGGATGATTCAAATTAGCGTAGCTGTGCCAAGCGGTCACAGTGAGAATTTTTCCCTTCCGCAGTCCTCCAAAGTTGGGGACTTGAGGGTTCTAGCGCAAAAATCATTCCAACTTGGGCTCTTGAGGCTTGTGGCTGCAGACCATAGCCTGGTGGATCCTACAAAATCTCTGCAGGATGCAGGACTTGAAGCTGGAGACCACCTGACAGCTATTGCTGTAGAGGCAAAGCTAGCGGCAACAGACAAAGCTTTTGCATTGCTTTGCACGGGGGGTCACAGGGTTGTTACTTGGGGCGATCCACGTTCTGGTGGTGACAGCTCTCGGGTCCAAGGTCAGCTCAAAGGTGTCCAGCAGGTTCAAGCAACTTCTGGCGCATTTGCTGCGATCCTGGCAGATGGCTCGGTCGTGACTTGGGGCGATCCAGATTATGGTCGTGACAGCTCTGAAGTCCAAGATCAGCTCAAGGATGTCCAGCAGGTTCAAGCAACCTATCATGCATTTGCTGCAATCCTGGCAGATGGGTCCGTTGTGACTTGGGGCCTTCCCGATTATGGTGGTGACAGCTCTGAAGTCCAGGATCAGCTGAAAGGTGTCCAACAGGTTCAGGCAACTTCTGGCGCATTTGCTGCGATCCTGGCAGATGGCTCGGTCGTGACTTGGGGCGATCCAGATTATGGTAGTGACAGCTCTGAAGTCCAGGATCAGCTCAAGGATGTCCAGCAGGTTCAAGCAACCTATCTTGCATTTGCTGCAATCCTGGCAGATGGGTCCGTTGTGACTTGGGGCGATCCATTTGGTGGTGGTGACAGCTCTGAAGTCCAAGATCAGCTCAAGGATGTCCAGCAGGTTCAAGCAGCCTATCATGCATTTGCTGCAATCCTGGCGGATGGGTCGGTTGTGACTTGGGGCGATCCGCATAGTGGAGGTGACAGCTCAGAAGTTGCAGGCCAGTTCGCATATTTGTAGCAAGGTCTGTACAAGTTTCAGCTTCAGTGCCGAATTTTTACACGTGGTGTTCAAGACTGAACCGTGCTGCAAAGTCATAGCCTGAAAAACTTGGCTGTATAGGTTTGAGTGCTCACACCCTCCCTATGCGAGCGATTGTCTTTGAACAGTTGTCCCCCACCATGCTACTAGCTGTACCAACGGGTCCACCCTAACCATTGAAACCACCATTTCCAAGGATTCAATCATCCAAGTGCAACAAGTGCAATCGTCCAATAAACCCCGGCTCATCTTTTCAAAGACCAGAAGGGACATGACACCGTGATGCCACAACTTCCTGCAGCTTGACAGATGCAATGGGTGACGGCCCTACTCTGGTAATGGCTTCAGGAAGGGCACATAGATTTATAACATCCGAAGTCTCTAGGATGAATGCTTTTCAAAATAATACTTTTTATGATTGCCATACGTTTCAGATATGTTTGTTGTTATGAATTGTTTCTGGCGTGGTTTTGCTGTTATGATGTTGATACGGTTTTAGATATGATTTTGATATGGTTTCAGTTCTGATTCTTGATTGGGTCAAACATGCGATTTGAAGCCAATCCATCGGAACCATATCCAAAATCGTATCAAATACAAATCAAAATCGTATCAAAGTCGCATCAAAAGCGTATCAAAATCGTATCAAAATCATATCAAAACCCCAAAAACCTTCGAAAAACGACCAAAAACCTGTCCCTGGGCTGTTTCTGTTTCTTTTTCTGATGCCAACTCACTGGAACCATATCAAAACCGTATCAAAATCATATCAAAACCGTATCAAGAGCGTATCAAAATCGTATCAAAGCCATATCAAAATCATACCAAAACCATCAAAATCTTTCTGAAAAATCGACCGAAAACCTGTCCCTGGGCTGTTTCTGTTTCTTTTTCTGAAGCCAACTGGCTGGAACCATATCAAAACCGTATCAAAATCATATCACAATCGTATCAAGAGCGTATCAAAATCGTATCAAAGCCATATCAAAATATCAAAACCACAAAAACCCGCGAGAAATCGACCAAAAGGCTGTCCCGGGGCTGTTTCCGTTTCCTTTCTTGAAGCCAACCCGTCAGGAACCCTGAAAAAGACGCTCCGTTCCCAAACCATATCAAAACCATTTCAAAATCACATCTAAAATATTCCAAAACCATATCTAAACCATAACCCAAACCATATCAAAAACATAACAAGACCATATCGAAAGAAATCATAAGCCCAAATTCAAAGCGCATCAAATTCATATCTTCCAACCGTATCAGAAACCATATTAAAATCGTAAAAAAAAAACTATTTCCTGAAATTGGCATCCTAGAGGGATTCTGGGGTTATAAACATAGATAAGTATGGATTGTTTTAAGGGAAAATTTAACCAAAAATTGTGGGGGTTTACCCCAATGTACAGGTTTCAACCTTGAATTTTCGGATCCAAGTCTGGGACAAAAGATGCTCGACTTGGAATGAGGTGCCGGAACTGGTAGCTGCTTGGTTTCTATACATTGCTCAGGATGATTCAAATTAGCGTAGCTGTG